AAGTTGTTACGTCTCCGTTTGTTAATTAATTTTCCGTTAATTCGTTCCGACGAAACTTTAGCGACACAAGTCCTTTCTTAAATAAAACTGGTTTATTCTTTCTGAATATAACTTTGCGATACACTTAATTTCAACAGCCGCGCTATAACAACGAACGTCTCACGTGCTCAACTTCAACAATACTCTCTGACTACAGTTCAGTTACTCATTACCTCTCCGTCGCTTCGTGGCCGGTCATATATATACAAGACTAACACACATCTAGTAAACGCTAGAGCATTCACGAAGGAACAGGATATTTCTAGAAAGAGGTGACGTGATACTAGTCACGTGACCTTGCTGACGCAACAACGTTATTGCTGAAACAGCTATTGTTCCCTGACGTACACGATTCCATGAGGCTGGATGAGGGACATTGTTGAAAAACTTTCTGATGGTGAAACGGTGGCGCGTCTTTGTCATGCATTTCTTATGTATTATCCTCCATGAATAATTATCCTTTTGCGATGCTCCCACAAACTGTGCAAATTACGAACAGCGTTTTATATGTCCTTAAGATACATCATTTTAAATTAGGCTTAACGCTGTCAAGGTTAATTTTTATTAAAAATTATGAAACATTATATTTATGATATGTATACAAACCACAGTAATAACTAGAGTTATACGGGTTTAGTGGTATTTTATGATGGAGTTTATATGTTTCGTCAAATTAAGTCTTGAGAAAGGGACCATTCAACAAGCATTTTCCGTAATAACATGTATCGAATACAATTAACTTTCGAGGTTACCCCCATTTGTTATACAGATTGAAGTCTAATAAGATCATATTTTATATATAAAAAACATTTTTCGTTCGATGGCACTCCCCTTACAACTAACACGCTTACAACTCTGCTTACTACATGTTGTATCTAGCTGACAAAATGTACATTTCTGTATATCATTATTATAAGCTTGATATCAAAAATCAAATACGTTAAAGATCTGGTACAAATTACAGTGTAGTTTTGGCAAAAATATAAATTTTAAAGAAATATTTTACATTCGATAAAGTTAGTACTGCACACTACAAACTAATGTTTTTGAAATAACGTGGTCAAAATGCTAGACATACCACTTATTGCTTTTCCAAGGTTTTGTATCTAGAAATAAACGCTGCAACACTTGCGGTACTGGAACCAAGAAGAACTAACGCCAAGCGCACTTACTGGTAAATACACATATGTCACTAGTACATGCTCACTAGGGAGGTCGTAACCATGTTTCAAGAGCAAACACAGCACCTATTGTCTGCCTCTTGTGACATCATAAACCACCTGCTGAACTCCAAACTAATCCGAGTAGATGAAGAAGTCTTATCACGTGCCCAAAACTAAGTGGAGGTCGACTGTCTATCACTACATTTTACGCAGTACGTAATGAACAAAATATATTATTCTCAAGAAAAAAGTTAAAAGGCAGATGGTATGGTTTTAGCGTTAAGAAACTTTCTTACTTGTCATAGAACACTTACCTTGTAAAAATAATATTCTTCAGTTAAGTTCCAGGACTTGGTATGCATTAAATGTTGCTTAACCAATACAATTTCACTTACTGTGATAAAAAGCTGTAAGGTGGAACCACATGTTAAAGGAACAACCAAACCATCATTACTTCCCAGACAGTAAACCGATAAGTTTACGAACTGTAACTCTAAAATCTAGTTTCATTAGCTGTGGTGGGTTTTTTTGTTGTTGTTGAGCACAAATGGGTTATCTGTGCTGTGGCCACCATGGGTATCGAGCCCCGATTTTTAGCGGTACAAGTCTCCAAAATTGCCCACTAAGCAACTGGGGTGGGACCCCGTTGATATCCCATTGTGTAGCTTAGCGCTTAGCATAGCAAACTTTCCAGATAAAGCTGCCTCCGTTTTAATTAAAATCAACTGTTCCATAGTCATTTTTTAACTTGTACACCTTTATGAAATTAACACTAGTATTCTTCCCGTTAATTTGTCCATTTACTTGATCGTCTTTTGTGTGAACCACTTATAATCTGCATACATATTGTCATTAGTACCAATGACAATCAATCTGAACAAACAAATATTCCTCTCTGCCACAAGAGGGCGTTACCTCTCTGTTAAGTCATCCAAGTTCTCAGGTCACTGTGCATTCCATCAAGATGATATATGTGGTTTATATCATTATCAAAGATTTACTAATGCAAAACACCTTCATATTTACAGTAATTGCTCAAATACACAAAATAACGTACCCTTTTTTTCTCACTCACTTTTTAAATATAATGGTGGATAGGATTTATTAATCTGTTTTTCACTAAACTATTACCGTAATGTATGTGGTAAATAATTAATATGTGACCCTGGAAAAAAAAAAAACAGTACCCGAGCTGTGAGCATACTTATACACCCAAAAACGTTTTTTAAGGTGAAAGAAAGATTGATTGAGTACTGATGTTTTGAACAGTCTGTATAGCGAATTGTGTAACGAACAGCGAAATACAGAGGGTTGTGTACCTTACATTAAAACGAGTTTGAATATGTAAATCAGCACGTCATTTTACAACCACAGTCGATATAAAGTCGCGACGGAACGCCATGTATCACAACTATATTTTGGCTTTGTTTGGCGTGTTGTAGGTAGTGTGATGCAATCGAGAACTTTTGAGAAGGTTGTGTAACAACTCTTTCCAACGCAAAAAAAATCATATACTCAAACTATAAAGATGTGCTCAGATTTGGATTTAGAATTTTAAAGATGGAGATATCCCATATGGATCAACTTGGGGCAACCGTGATCATTCATAAATAGAAGTACAAATTATATCTGTGGTAAGTATTGTGTGGCATCTTGTAATAGGTGGAATCGAATAACACATAAAGACAGAATATAAAAAGCATACAGAGGGTAGTGGTGTGCTTTTGTCTTGACAGCCTTACTTCTTTTAGAATGGAAACTATGCTGCAGTGCTTTTGTCAAGAAGCATGACCAGGTATGGCAACATCGATAGTAACGGCGTGGTGAAGTTCAAAAATAATTTTAGTATAACATAAACATGCATGAGGGATCACAGAAAGTGCATTCCACTGGTTTCTGGAAATGGTACCTAGAGTATCTGTACAATATTGCCTCTATCCTTACCCAAAGTCTCCTCAAGCAATAGCTCACATCTTGTGCTGTTTCCATGGTGGTATACACAGAGTGCTATCCCAGTACTGCCACCATTTTGATGGCACAGTTCCACTGTCATAAACCTAGTGTTCCACTCTTATCAAAAGAACAAAGGTTGTCCATTCGTTCATGTGCTTACATACCAATATAATATTTATGTGTAAGCTCCCTTTAATGACAGAAATCAATACAATACTTTCAAGACCTTTTAGTCTCTCTACAAACTGATCAAAATACTATAAAGACTTTATAATTATCATGTATTATAAACAAAATGTTGCACAAAAACAATCATTATATGAATTGATCTGATTGCACAATTTAGAGAAAGAAATATTTCAAGGTTATTTTTAAATGTCAAAAGATCACAAAGTATTAGAAACCAACAAGCCTGATTGGTGTGTGACAAAAGACAGAAACTGAAATGCTTTTTTTACATGCATTTAAGTACACAGTAAGTTAAAACACATAAATATGAAAATAAAACTGTGTTCCACATTAAACATTTTACTTTTCATTTATGATACAGAACTTCGTTTTTCATAAATTACAGTATTATTTTTAGAACAATATATAACTTGCAAGAATTATGTTTCCTTTTTTAATTACATGAATTGATCTTTGTAATTGATAAAAAACATTGGATAAATTGGACTTTAAGTCAAAATAAAAGAGGAAAATGCAATAAGATTGTTTCTCATAGATGGTCCAAGTATCACAGGAAGCTGCACCAATGTTTTATACAACCTACTCATTCTTAATTTCACCTCATTTACTGCATGCACATATAATCAACACAGACCAATAAACTTAGTGTATGTATTCAATGGGGAGGAAACCAAATGAATCTCAGTTGCCTTATCACACACATTAAAATACATCATGATCATCTTAAGCATTATAAATACTGAAATAATTTTTTGAGAGAGAAAATTTCCTACTTCAAAAAAAAGTTAATATGAAACACCCCCAAATCTTTCAAAGATTGGATTCCTATGTTGGAAACATTAAGCATGATGTCTGTCGATGTTTGTTTGTAGTTAAGCACAAAGCCACATAATGGGCTATCTGTGCCCTGCCCACCAAAGGTACTGAAACCCGGTTTCTAGCGATGTAAGTTTGTAGACATGCCACTGGGGAGGGACTCTGTCGATGTAAAGTTATAAGGATAATTTTCTTATATTATGAGTTCTTAGTTATCATGTGTTACTTGTTCTAATGATCAAAACTATTAAAATCAGACACAAAACAATATATAGACGTGCAAGTACAATTTATTACAATTATTTGGTGTCCTAATATTTGTTACTGAATACGGAAATCACACATAAAAACCATCAATCTAAAAGTTGTAAAACAGAGCAACACTAAAATGTTCACTTGTAACCAAAACTACATTTTTCCTGTTACATTCATTGCATTTTATGGAATCCCCCACAAAAAATATTCATTTTATTTTTGTAAAAGTTTTGAGATTTTAAAGTTAAAACAAAGAAGTTATTTTACTTCAAAAACATTTTACTGAAATAATAACTGAATGTTTTTTAAGGTACTAATACTTCTTTAGTTTTTTTAACATTAACCAGCTCTCAGTGATAAGTATATTAAGAAATGGCACAAACACACCAAACATCTCAGTACTTCTAAAACATATCACCTAAACTAACTCAACACTTATATGAGATTGATTTTCCTTTCATTTTTAACTGTTGAAAATGACAACATGTTAAAGTCATACTACTGAGACCTTGGAAGATATGCCGTTCCACTTGTTACTTACCTCATAACCTTAAAGTAAAACAAAATATATTGCCAGTTCATATAATACTTATAGAAAACCTTTGTTCAAGCCAAAACCCACAAGAGTGGAGCTTCCAACAGTGATTCAACTACCACATCTGGTCATTATATTTTTGCGTCTTTTATAATACTCAACATTCTTCGATTTTGTCTTACAAATCTCTTTCTCTCTCTATACATATATATATATCTATATATATATATATGTATATATATATATATATATATATGTGTGTATGAAAAATTTATATCCCTTATTCTGAAAAACAACTCTTTTTAAGTTCAGTACACTGTTACGAACAAAATTATAAATAAAATCTCACATAAATATACAATTTTCCAACTATACAAAACTGAAAAGGAATGATAAATCTACTCAACCTCATTAGCTTCATGATAAAAGGATATTCTTCACAATAAAATATTGTTATACTCATTCATAGCACCATAATATTACAGATTTAGAAAAGTCTATATTTTAGGGCAATGAACTGGGTTAAAAAAAGGAAATTTATAGATTTATGCACATGTTTCAGTTTTTTACAGATTATCAGCAAGGAAAAGCATAAAAAATGAGTATCAGTAAAGGTAGCATAACAAAAGAATAGCAGAATGCCCGAGGAACTTGTGTATCTAACATGTCTGCATTATTTTAACAAAAAAATTAAATAAATAAAACCGAAAGTATAATCATTAGGAGAAATGAGGTTTAAAAGTTTAAAAAAAAAAATAGAAGTTAAAACAATTACAAACCACTCTAAAGTTAAGAAAAGTAATATAAATGGCTTGTTTCTGTCAGACATGGATGAATCAGATGAGAACAGTTAATTTACAGTTCACTAAACAAAGCTGTTAAGCCTTACGATCGTTTGAAAATGTATTATGGAAGTGTTACATGATGTAACATTAAAGACCTGATTAAATCTGAATACTGTTAAAGATTATGATAAACAATAATCAAGATCTCAACACTCATCAGCTGAAACTTGATGAATTAACCTTTGATTCTTCAAATATTCCATTTGTAATACAGAATAATGTTTTGGTATATTCATTGATCAATTTACCTGTTTAGAAGAGTTGGAATAAAAGATTGTTAACTATAACCTTATCTAAGGTTTTTTTTATTGAATCAAAAAAAAAAGAATAAATCACCTCAATAAAAAGAATTGACTTTAAATACATCTCACATTAAGGTAACACTCTAAATACTGTAAGTTTCTAAATAATGAATTCAATTCTTCTTTACAAACATAATTCTATGAAAAAAATATCTTGCTATTCTGCTATGCCTTATTTATTTACTAGTTGAAAAAGTGAGAATTATAGAAATACATACAAAAACACTTCTACAGTGTGCCTCGTTCTATAATGTAAAGTGTTTAGACATACAATGCTTATATTAATATATCTAAATAACACTAATGGTACAAATATTGTATGACAAAATGGCATGCTCAAATAATTTCAGTATTTATATACAAAACATTATGTTTAATCAAACCAGAAACAAACTATTTCTTTACCTATTATTAATTAGTCAGAGATTAATTACACACACACACACACACACATATAATTAATCTCAGCAACTAATTAATGTAATTAATTTCAAATTACAGTCATTCTTAATTGATGAGATGTTGAACCAAAAATTATGGTTAAGACGATTAATTCAAGCCAAAATAAAAGTGTGTCACTGCTAATAGTAAATGCAACTTTTTTTAAATTCTGTGAAAAACAATGAAGCTTGATTTTGTGTCACTATTTAGATATCTACACTGTTGCTATTAAAGTCGTTTTGTATTTCTAGGTTTGTGCAGTTATGGTAAGTAGTTTAGTTTTTTCACTTGGATCTAATTTACATTTATAATTAATAAACATTTACTAATGCTCTAAGGGCATCAAGTGACTAATATAATTTATTTCACATCTAAGTTTGTAGTTAATAAACATTCAATAAAAGTTCCAGGGATTTAGTTTGTTTTACCTAAATTTGTATCTTGATGACATATTATAAAGTTCTAGGTAGAGGGAAGTTATCACAGTATGGTCTTCTTTATCTAAATTTGTAACTGAAAAAGATTATGTAATTCAAGGCATGAAAAAGAAGTCTATATCATAATCTGTTTCACCAACATTTGTAGCTAATAATAATGCAATAAAGTTCCAGGTAGAGAGAAGTCACTCATGCAGTCTGTTTCATGTAATAACGCAGAGAAATCACTAGTGCAGTTTATAAATGTTACTATTGAACACGTATACATAATATAGCTTTACACAGCAATAAATGACATTACACACATTTGCAATTTATCAACAAGTAATACTCTTTCAGTAACAAGCAACAAAACAAATTCATTGAATTTTAGTAGAATTCTAGTGACTTGTTGGTAAGGAGCACGAGCTTTGTTAATTTACTGAACTTGTGATTTTGACATTCTAAAACTTAAAACACTTTACAAGTAATTTTTTGAAACATTGAAAAGTAAAACAAAAATTTTCATATATCTATTAAGATGAATTAAAAGGTTTGTAAATTAATATTCCCTGATATTTCTATCTACAAACCAACAATGGAGTCATTTTCAAAACGTTGTTTGAAGAAGATCTCAATGAATACAATTTGAATAAAATAGTTAGATAGTTGTGAATTTTGATTCCACAAACTCTGGATTGTTAGTACTACCAAAACATAAGTTGCCATAATTTTATAAGAAGATAACAATGGAAGTAAGTTGAGATGATAAAAAATACATTCAGGCAAAGCCACAACACACAGTTCAGTTGCTGTACTGGTTGAAAACTCTCATGGCCACAATCACTACTTTCACCAAGGTGGCTAACTGGAAACTTGCCTGTTTTGTAAAATTCTGTCAACATTTCTTCCTTCTCCTGCCAACGTTTAAATAACCAGTTCCTGAGTTCTTCTTCATTATTACTTGGAATATCATCAATTGGAAATTTTCTATAATGCATATAGGTTACACAAGGTGGTCTGCTACCAGTACATATGGTCGGCAAACTTAGAGGTCGTCCACCATCTGGATACCCAACTGTTATATCAATCACCCACTTTAATGGTTCAGGCTTTTTAACTGAAACTAAACAAACATGGAATGTTACATTGCACTGGTATATGAAGCATCAACATGTTTATTTCATTAAAGCTACTTGCTCTGCAGATTTAAACACAGATCATGCCTGCTACCAACTTGAAGTCCTACATGTAAACCAAACATCAGTAAATCATGAGTTACCACTATCACCTAAGCTCATGCCTGCTATCAAAATAAAGTCATACATATGTGCTATTCTTAGTTAAAATGATTTCTGCAAGGAGTATTAGGTAGGTCTGTTTTATAATGGGAGGATCAGCTGAATAAATTACAAGTTAGTACTGAATTTAACTAAATGAGTTTAGGCAAAGAAATAATCATACTGGACATGATGTTTAATAAAAAATGAAAACAATATTCATTAAATCAACAGACAAATACAGTGTGTATACTTTATTAAGGCAATGGATGGTTGCTTTCAACTAGACTCACGCACTGATCAACTGGTTTTTTAACTCAAGACGTTTTCCTATCATACAACTCATTTAAGATCCTGTGTAGTAGTGTTGTAATCTAATGTTTCTAACTTAACAGGAAATGTCAGATTTACCCACAAGGACTAGCATCACGTGATCCACATGACTAATCATTCCCATTCACCATGTGGAGGCTGTAATGTTTATCATCTGCCCTGTCAACATGGGACACTACTGTTGTCTTCATTCGTGCACAACATGTAGTGTTACAGCAATATCCCCATTGGGTGGAACAGGTACTGTCTATAGAGAACAACAAAGGAGCAAAGGCAGCTAGAACAAAGTCAACTTAATGATTTTTTGGACCTTGTGTTATATGACAACTGTACAGGTTCCGACCAATTAAAAATTTAAAAAATTTCTACATTAAAATAACAAGGTAGAAACTATATGGTACGCGAGCATATCAATAAAGCTAGATGATTAATGGAATTTTCTGATTACTCGCTGGGCTCATTAATAAATCACACTTGGCTAATTGATTATTCACATGAGAAGGCTTTAAAAGAGAAACAAAATCCACTATTCTTATAAAATGGCTAAATAACAAACAGCTGATGCTGCTAAAAATTGGCTTGAGATAACCATGGTGAACAGAGTACAGATTGCTCAAAATATAGCTTTGTGCTTAACAAACAAACATAGTGGCAATATTTTGATTAAACAAATACCTGGAATAATTGAAACAGTATTAATCAGAAACATTAATTTCAATTAGTTAATTATTTTCATGTGTCGTGACAAGTAATCAAACTGAATAAATTTTGATTGACTAAAAAGAACAATGAAAAATTTTTATTACTGGACAGGTGAAATAATCAGAAACATCAAATTTAATTAGTTTATTATTTTAGTGTTATTAATCAATTTAATCATAATTTCTATTACTGGACAGCTGGAATAACTGAAAATAGTAGCAACTGGAAACATATTTGGATTGGTTGAATATTTGCAAGACATTAATCAATTTATATGCAGTTTTGACTATCCAACAGTTGGAATAATAAAAAAAAAAATTATAAATGAAAGCACCAGTTGATTATTTACTCGACATTTAATTGTAGCTTTCATCTCTATCAAAGGCGTGCATTCCATAGAAGCAAGGGAAGCAGTGCTTCCCCAATATGTGTTAAAAAAAATTTCATTTTTAAGTATCAGCTAAATATGATGTCATGAACTTGCAATCGATTCATACGAAAGCACTCTACTCTATCAGTAATTGCACTGTACAGGCGAAAGCACTGTTGGAAAGAATCCTGACTACAACTCGCAAAATGTTTCCTTTTTTGAGTTAATTTTACCTTTATTTCCAACTAAAAACATTTTTGTTACATAATATAATCTTTAAACTATAAAATGCTTCTTACATGAATAATTTTCTGATTAAATAATTTCAAATTCATACTTGTATTTAAAAAACATATCTTGAATGTTATATTGGCCTCTTCTATAGCATAAAGGAAGCAATTACCAGTTCATCTTACTTCAAAATACATGCAAAATTGGAACTTACTTATAGTCTATATATTAAATTATTTTAATCATTAAAAAAATTTAAGCGAAATTACTAATTTATAAATAAGCTAGCATTTCGTAATTACTATTTTATAAATTAAAATGTACAATAAACAAATCAAATATTATAAGAAAATAAATAATAATTTATAGTTAATTTTCTTGTGATATTTGGAAACTTTTGTTTTTCATGACCTGCACCTTGCGCTCGTGGCTATTTGTTACCTCCCTGATGTCATGTGATGTGCAGGTGCTTCAGGCATTGTCTTAAATGATACTGTTATTTTTTGTATGCATAAATTTTTTCTGAAGTGTGTCACCATTCAGATTTGAATATGGATTTAAAGGATAAAGGAAAAATTGTAACTGTATTATTGAAAGCTTATTAGTGAACAAGTTCGTACAAAGAGTTTTTGTGATAAAGAAAGCATCATCAGAAATGGTAGACGTATGCCAGCTCTAAGCCCGACTGAAAAAACAAAGCAGTACATTCGAAAATTCAATTTAAACCAATATGACAGGACATCTTGGATAACTGCTTGTCCTAACTTGCAGAAGCTTCTCTGCTGGCCGTGTTAATTATTTAACAGTGATTTAGGGACATGGAACTCAAGTGGATTTGATGATTTAAATAATATAAATAAGGCAATTAAAAGACATGAAAATTCCTCCAGTCATATATTTTCAACTCTAGGCCTAGCTAGATTTGGAAAATCTCGGCTTGAATTCCAACTAAACAGCCAACATAAAATAAATGTGGAAAAGCACAATGAAAAGGTGAAGAGGAATAGAGACATTTTAAAAAGATTAATCGACGTAGTATGCTATTTGGGTGAACAACAATTAGCATTTAGAGGTCATGATGAATCACTAGAGTCTGATAACTGAGGCAATTATATGGAATTGGTAAATTTGTGCAAGAAATATGATCCATTATTGAAATCACATTTAGAGAAACTGAGTGTTTTTTCCAGAATAATCTCATTAATTGTGTATGGGAAGTATTGTTGAATAAAATTAAACGTGAAATAAGTGATTCTCCATTTGTGGCTCTTATCTTAGATAAAACTACTGATGCAAGAACCATTTCTCAGCTTTCTAGTGTCGTGTGATATGTGACTAAATATGGTGAAAGATTTCTGTGGTTTACAAATGTCGGTGTAGATTGAACAGCTGTAGATATATCTAAGATAATGTTCAATTTAGTTGATGAATTAAATATTGGGTCCAAATTTGTTGCGCAAACCTATGATGGGGCAAGCGTGATGTCCAGTGAACTGAATGGTTTTCAAAAAAAAGTTAGAGATAAGTATCCAAAAGCTCTTTTCATTCATTATTTGGCACATAGATTGAATCTAGTGTTGTCGCAATCTATGACGAAGATCAAGGAGTGTGACAGATTCTTTGCAAAACTTAAATCATTCTCTTTGTTTTTTGCAAAATCAACAAAGCGTGTGCAACTTTTAGATACTAAACTGAAGAAAAGATTCCAGAAAGTGGCCCCAACTCGTTGAATTATAATCACTGCCTTGTTGATACTGTCTTGGAATACATAGAAGAAATGGTTGACTTGTTTCAAAATATTGTTTATAATTTTGGCAACTGGGATATCAAAACCTTTACCTGTGCCCAAGCATTTTCATCGAATCTCAGAAATTTTGATATCAATTTCTTGCTGAATATATTTGCCAGTATGTTTTCACATATAAATGTTATATTTATGTTCTACAGAATAGGATATTTTATATATCCTACTCTATGAATAAAGTAAATGAAATGGTGACTATTCTGCAAAAAAATAAAAAAATAAAGAGAGACGATTTTGTTGAATTTTGGGCAGCAGTCAATGGATTACTACCCCCCCCCCCACCCACACACACACGCTAAGCAAATAAGAAATGATCCCGGAGAAGACATTAAAATAACATACAGAAAGTTACTTTATGAAATTTTGGATGCAATTTGTGGCCAAATTGAAATTAGGTTTCAAAGTTTGAAAAACATAGCATTCTTTGAGATTCTTAACACTAAAAAACAGGAAGAGAACAAAAAATATCTTTTGAATTAGCATTAAAATCCTTGCAAGATAATTATGGAGAATACTTTGATATCCATTGCTCGAAAAGTGAACTTTCAGTTTTACACCCTGATGCTGATTTGAAAGGAAAAACCAATGAATGAATTACTTTATTGTTTGTGAAATGCCAAGTTAGATGCAGCCCTGCAACAACTGATGAAGTTGTGCGAGTTAACCTCGACTCTTCCAGCCACTAGTGCCTCAATTGAGTGTTCTTTCTCTCATTTGAAAAGAATATACAGCTACACCAGAAATGCACAACAACAAGAAAGACTTGCAAGTTTAGCGTTAATCACGATTGAAAAACGTTTCTTAAGGAAATAAAGACTGATAGTTTCTATGAAGATTTAATAAATCTATTCAATCAAAAGGAAAGGAAGATGGAATTAACATATAAATAAAGTAAGTAGCCGGATATGTCTTGTTTTTATCTTTAATTAGAAGTACATCTTAAATATGGTTAATGATTACAACTAATTAATTTTATCTTTACTGGCCATTCTGTACATATTTTTTTATTTTATAATACATCTTATATGCTTTTGCTTCCCCATCAGGACAAATCACCACACGCTCCTGAACAGAAGAGGGTAGAAAGGACAGGTGGTAGATAATGCCACCTGAAAACGTGTGATTGTAGAGACAGACAAGCCATGTGAAGATGGAAGTAAGATGTTGTAAAGTAGATTGGTCAGGGAGAGATGGTGAAGGATAGACCATTAGCAAAAAGCACAACATTCAGACTATTACACAGAAGAATTGAAAGGGTGACAAGATTGTGAAATAAAGAATGGTACATGATGGGATAGTTTGACTGGACGAGCAATGGACCAGACAAATCTCACATGTTAAGATCAAGGGATGTCACTCCTTGATGTAATACTGAAGTGTGGGGTTAGATCAGAAGGAATGAAATGTTGGGAAAGGGATGAGGAGCTTAAATGAGAGAAGATGGAGTAACAGAAACCAAGGTTGGCCTGGCCAATGGGGGGCCACTGATAGGACCCTGCAACTGGTGTTCCAAATCAGAGCTAGGGCCTGAGGAAGGAAGCAGAGAGAAGAATAGGCATACAGGAAAAGATTGGGCCAGTCCTGACTGAGAGCATCAACAGCCAGAACTGAGGTACAGGTGAACAAAAGAGAAGAAGTGTGGTATTGAGGTAGGGCAAAGACATCTGTTTGAGGAAGAAGGGTGAGGGAAAGAGGTTGGAAAAAACAGGAAACTAAAGAGATGAGAGAAGATTGATGGTGAGCAGCTTTAGACAAGATTCTAGGAAATCAGGTCCCAGAGAAAGGAGGAAGACCTTAGACTTTTTCCCATCCCTTCCCAAAAGATCCCAACAACACAGGAACCAGGTAAGAAGAGAAAGGGCAAAGGAAGTGGAATGGACTATTTTGGTAAAAAGAAATTATCTAGCGCAGTGGTTCCCAAACTCTTTTAGTCTGAGGCTCTCTTGATGTGAGTAAAAAAGTTTAAGCCCCCCCCCCCCCCCCAACCCTATAACTTTAGCAAGGTGTCTGAAAAACAGTGCCATGGTAAAAAATCATCATCTCCTTTCAACATACTATGTCATTTTATTAATCCAACATAATTTTTATTGGATTATTGTTTGCTTAGAATTAAAATTAATTCAGCATGTTTGTTTTGGGCCCATATCTGGGCAGCTTCCACTTTGGAAAACACTGACCTAGAGTCCACAGAAAAATCATCAGGGGAATGATGAAGAGCTTCTATCAGGAGAGGAGAGATAACAAAGAATAGCAGTGAAAAAGGCTCGAAAATGGGAAAATTGTACACTAGATAAAGAAAGAGCAGATAATTAGTTCACTCCCATCCCCCCAAACTGGCAAGAGTGATGCTGAAGACTGGGAGTCAAGGAACGGGAAATTTGAGTGATTATACAGTAGAACAAAAGAATCAGTTAGGAGAGGATAACAAGGCAGAAGGTTGTGGGAAAAAGAGTTAATCCAGAAATGAATTGGCATGTACAGTTATACCAGGGGAGGGAGGAGAAACAAAGAAATCATGAGGAGAAGGGTTAGGTGAAAGTGCACAGGTAGAGTCAAAAGATATGGGAGTTAGAGAAAGAAATGTATATACCTAAGAAATGAGGTTTTGAAAGTCAGAAAAAGACTGAGAATGTTCTTCAAAAGGTACACATTCACAAAGCAAAACCTGTAGGTAGAAAAAACTGTTTGAAAGAAGGGGAAGCAAATGGAAGAGATAGGAACTGAGAGTCCTGGCTGCATAATGGATCCCACCACACCATGAGCAATGGCCATCATATCTTTCACAGATAAAGAACTTCCAGCAAAAATGTTGGTGATTTGTTCTGTGTGAGAATATTCTCCCCTGATAATAGCAGAAATGGTGTTCACATTAAACTGTGAATTTATGAGAAGTATAATTAAACAAACTCAAACCAAGTTAAAAAAGTTGTAAATCTTAACAAATTCAGAACATGTAAGTGCACAACAGTACTGAGGAAAATCACTTTGGCAGAACATGCAAACCCATAAAAAAGAAAGCTGTTCTGCGTGTAGAGGTGAGTATTCGTTTTTGGAATCATGAATTATTACTTTCACCAAAGCTACTTTGTAGACTTAAACACAGGTCATACCTACTACAAAGTTCTGTGTGCAAATTCAACCCAAACACATATTACTTGAAACTAATTCTCTTGCAAATAACAGAAGCAAAGATCACATACATAACATTCTTGAAGGAATATTTCAGTTAGTAACTATTTTTTTAATATATATATATATAAGTTAATTTAGCACAGTTTATTCAACATTCAAGAACATATAAATTAAAATATAAACTGAATCATTTTTACATATTCCTAAATATAAGCACTTCTTTAAAAAAATATTAAAGCTCTAATAATGCTTATCACTGGACTGAAGCATTAAAATTTCATAAAAACGAATGTTTCTCAAAACTAGAAACAAATTTAAAAGACCTATCACAAGCCAGTGGGGAACATTTTTGTTTAAAAAAAAACAACAAAAAAAACTACCCAATCTGGTCTTTCTTAATTTGAACTGAAATTTTTTGGACATGATTATTGACTAAAAGAAAGTCATTTCCCGCACCCCTTTAGCATTGGGGCTGTGAAAAGTGATTTGAAGCGGTAAGGTGACTGAAATTCATCAGCGCATCACAAGCTTAATGGCCAATCACAAGAAGCATGGAAGTCTCCAAATGACACTCAGAGGTATTCATGAACTGTTTAAAACCACCTTGGTACATATATAGTGCAGCAAGTCGAGTACAATATCTATGCCTGTAGCTGCTTTCAAAGTGTTCCTGTCTGCTCATCCTACTACTGACTTTCATGATGCTTTGACTTTCCCTACCGAATCGCAGGTGAAATTGTTCGTATCTCAATTGAAAGCTAAACATAAAAAGGTGATAGCAGAAACATAAAAAGTTGTCAAATGCTTAATGAATGATGCTGAGAATGTGGCTTTATTAATATATACTGAATTTACTCTCAGTGGGTAGACCTAAGTACTAGCTAGTATGGAGACTTGAGGATGCTGTATTTCACTTAAAAATTTATCAATTAACAAACAAAAACTTGTCTCGAAAAGATTCGTCCAAAACCACTCTCTTTGGGAGTTTCCAGATTAAACTTGCTTTTAATATTAAGCAAATTGTAGTATAAAGACACCCCTTGGCTTCTGAGGGACGTGTTAAAATGTATATTGTTATGGTTGTGTCAAAAGTTTGCAGTAAATATAATTTTACTCATACTAATATATCACTATCCTATAATCTGACAAAATCAGACATTGCAATACCCAGAATCTATTAAAGAATATTACAGATTTTTCCTTATAGCTGAAATAATACCATACCTTGTTCATTATTCAAATGATCTATGATGATGCCGTTTCCAACATTTTCTTTTTTTAATACATTCAGAATCACCTTTAGTGCCCCAATTCTAGGAACGTAACATGATTGAGAACAGGATAGCCATGCTCTCTTCCGTATCTATAGTGAAGAGAAATATATGAAAAGTGTTATGCCTGAGATCATATGCAGTTTGAATGTTAAATAGTAAATAATTATGTCCTTCACATTTTATATAAAACAATAAACATAGAATGCACAGAGTTAGACTTAGCTGACATAAGAAAACTCCTGCTGTATGAAATTCTGGTTCCAGATACTTTGTGTTGAAAACCAATATATCTAAATATATTGTAGTATCATTCAGCAGTAGTGTGGCTTTATTACCTTATTCCACACGTAAACTTTCTTATATGAAAGGTTCAACTGTAGATCTTTTTACTCACTTTGGAATCTGTGTGCTGTCTGCTTGACCACAATTTAATTTTCCAGTTCCTAATCTTCCTATTCCATTCTGCTGTTGGTACCATACAACACCATTCCGAGGTCATGGTTCAAGACCTCACAATAGCTGCACACAGAGGGCACCCGAGGAACAGGGCAACACTGATACTCTGTTTTACAGGCTTTATAAAATTTTATCATTTGAGTAATTCATTCAATATGGATTGCTAGGTTACTTGGATATCAAATATTTTGCTGTACAAATCCAGTAGAAACACAACTCAAGATGTTGAAATCTGTATGCTGCATTTTGATAAACAATAATAAACCTTTTTTTATTCATATGAAAAAAGAGCACATAATCGGCACGACCCTTGAAAATCAAAAAGGGCACATCATCTTTGGAAGGGGTGGAAGCAGACCAGTGTTATATTGACATTGGTGAAAATATTTCATCATGTCAATCATGTTGGCATAAAGGGGGTACCATACAGTCAGGTGTTTATTTACAGAAGCTCTGTTTACACTTACGTTAGTGCATTAAATTCATTTGTGAAATTTTAGCTGACCTATATGGTCAATTAACTTTGACTGTCATCATGGAATAAATAAACATTTATTACTCGGTCCTTGAATTTTAAAAACTTGATAGCTACACTTATTTCACTAGCACTTGTACACTGCATTCTTAGAGGTTCCTAAGTCTTTAAAAAACATGTAATTAGAACCTAGCTGTTGAAACATTCAACAAAATGTTTTTCTTTACAAGTTGCTACTATCCCTTTCTTACTTTTGGCTGCTTTCTAATCTCTTCCTTAGAAATCCTCCCTCTGGAAACAGTATAATCCACTGTCGGTCTTGTTGTAAGTAAACCTTGACTAAATGAGATCTTAACTTTTCTAACTGCACTTCACGTCCGCTTTTCCCCTGAATCATGTTAGAAAAAACAACAAAAAACTTTATGTCATTATCAACTGGAAAACTTCAAATCAAATTGAAAGAAGTATCACTTTACTCAATATATATGTAAATCATCATGTCTAGAAGTTGAATCAATATATATATTTAATCATACAAAAGTATTAAGTGTAAAGTTCATTTTTTAAATCTAAGAAGTCAGGTCAAAAACCTCTGAGGTTCAGGCATAACTATTCTCAATTTAAAAATGTTAACCAGAGTGGGCAACCGGTCAGCAGCATTTGTCGCCTTTTTGGCTACTCTTAATTAAATAGTGAGATTGGCTATTGTTGTTTTCATTGTGCTTACAGCTGAAAGTGTATGTTTAACAGCACATTAGGACTCTAACCTTGGATCAGGAGGTAGTAGCACTGCTCTGCATGTTAATGATTAGGTCACATCTGGATTGAATATTATTTTTTAATGATTGAAAACAAACATTCTCATAAAGAATAAACAAGTCATAAATATGATTCTAAAAGTATTACATATTTTCACTATGTACAATAATGTTTTTCTTACACTTGAGACTCACAACATAACTGCTTGTAACAATCAGGATATCTGAAAAATTAGCACACAATTAGCAGATAAAAGACAAAGAAATCAAGAATTTTGGCTGGTAAAGCTTTTATATATTACTGGGTATCTGGAATGACTTCCAACCAAATGTTTCAAACCAAAAGTGTATCACAGAGTCAGTAGACTATATGTAGGGATAGCCAAGATACTCAATAGGCATAATACAAATATGCACACTAAAATCAACAATGACAGAGAGTTTTACTTTAAAAGATGATAACCACTCATTTTCATTTGTTTCTCTACCCAACAAGCCCTAAAGCAAGGTAAGAAACCATCGCTAAGATACCAAACCAGAAAGTGACCAACTCACTAAATTGTTCATCTTTCTTCTTCTTGTTTCAGTCGAGATAACTCTACAACTACTTTATCACTAACGTCAACTTAAACCTAAATCCACACTATATGTTTCTGGGCAGGACACGATGTCATTGCTTAGTTGTAATAACTAGTTTTAATTTTTAAAAAATCATAATTCTAGTTTAAACAATGTTATCATTACCCCTTGAAGTTAGCATTTTTACAGAAATCTGGTGTTCCTTTAAAAAGCTTAAGTGCAGGGTGAAACAGGAATTACCAGCCAGTGATAGATGAACATTAGATGACTGTAACAAGTAGAATACTCAATGCTTTGTACACTACACAATCAGTGTCTTTAGGGAGCCAACCCCTATATTATGTATGAAGTAAAGGGGTAAAACAAAAATCAATACAAATAATATTAAATATTATCATGCACATTCATAGAATATACTAACTTTCAGTCAGGATAAAAAAGTCACAAAACAAGTAATAAAAAACATTCTGTAAATTTAAAATGATGTAGGAATGGGAGTGCCAAAAAAAGTGCAAATAATAATATAGGGAGGATACAGCTATAAATAAATCATCCCTACATGACTTTCAATATTAAAAGTTATAAGTTTCCTATACTGAAAATATATTTTTGATAGGTACTTCCCCTCATCTCACAAGATTAGCTATTCTCATTCATTGGTGCCCTCTATATGCAAACTTTTTTTACGTATGCCACAAGCCTTCTGCACACTCCTGTTGGAATCCAATGATTCAAATGTGTCTCTCATGCAAATCATCATGCAAAACTTCTCCACCAATAGGAGAATAGTATACTCACGTGATGCATGTGGCTCCCTCTTTGCACATCTACCGAACTATTACTTCAAAGTTTGGCAGACAATGGAAGCACAAGAAGTGAGTTGGGAGGAAGGGTGGGAAGTGTGAGTGGAGGGAAGTATCTGTTTGAAATACATTTTCAGTATAGGAAAATTATAAATTCTGATACGGTAATTCCATCTGCTCACAAAATTAGCTAGAATCCCACACTGATTAGGATGAGGGACCAGTGCAAGGAAAGAACAGATGCACCCACCGAAAGCGTCTGACGAATACCACTGCAGATGAGAGAGTCAGATCCTAAGAGGGGAATTGCACCACTTCTGATCCAGGTATTCTCTTCATCCCCTATGTGGAATGTGTAAGAAATAGGAGCACATCTGAGTGGGAGAGAATGCCTTAGGAAAGTGATCCTAACTGGAGAAAGATATAGTAACTCAATCTCACAATAAGAAAAGTGGGTAAATGAGGATGCGTCCCATGGTGTAGAGTGCCTAGGGCACAGTGGACCATACTCGGTAAGTCAGCTATATCCAAAACCTTCTCACGGGGTACTAACATCTGCACCAGGATCATACCCTTTTCACCTCAAACCCAAGAAACGGGGAACTGAGAACCAATCCAATCCCTGGGTATTACACAGGATTAGTTCTGAGCTATAGATCCAGGAATTTAACATCGAGTATCAAAAGGAAGTCTATCGCATGCAATCAACTCCCACAACCGTGAATAAGGTCAATAACATCAAAGGGTTATAACATCAACGTAATAAGAGAGAATGAGGGAGAGCCAAGGACAGAACTAGAATAATCTCATGTATCCCTGCTGTGACCCACAACACAGAAAGAGGATATTGAGGGAGGAAGATAGACAACCCTAAACCTGTGTGAGGACTTATGTTGATTGGTTCACTCAAAATCCAAAACCAGCCCACTGGGTACTGACATCCAAGCAAGGGTAGGATGAGGGCTCCCAATTGAAGGGGTGAACTGCATTTTGACATCCCACTCTGCTGTATGGTTAATCACAAATCAGAGGATATTACGCCATATACACTGGCAGAACACCACCACCCTACTCTGAACTGAACAGTTATAGTCATCATATGTGGAACCCATCCAGTAAGGGTGCCTCCATGGTCAACCACCCCAGCGACTTGTAAGTGGTAAGAACTTCCATACTCCACTGGAAAAAAATGGAAGGAGAAAATACAGTGAAGAGCCCAGAGGAATGTCGACACCCGAGATAGTGCAATGGATCTCAAAACCCTATTTTGAAAAGCAGACCATACCAATTTATTCAATCGAGGCATGGCAGGGATGAGCAGCTATCCCCTTCTGCTTTACCCATGAAGTCCATGGGTGGTATAGTCCAGGACAAGCCAATGAAGCAAATATTGCGAGGTTATTCACCTAAAAGCAATCTTGTTAAACACCCCATCTCAAAGGGTGAGCATGCAAAGCCATGGAAAGAAAAGTGCTAATCAATATGGTGTACAGTGTGAATTTACAGTTAAAGAATACCTGGTCAGGCACCACTCGCCACAAAGTGGGATCCATGTAACGAAGGTATGAAGAATGGGCCCTGAAAAAAGAAAGTATTAATAAACATTTACCCAGTATCAGAGTCACACCAAAGTCTGAAGTACAGCCACAGGTGGAAGGTGAAAACCCGAGGAAGCTGAAACTGCGATATGATGTAAATAATGGGAGATGAATGTGTTATGGTTGGTCCACATGCCCAATTATTGGCTGACAAAGACGAGATGTGAGGGGAAAAGTGAGGTGTCAGATTAGGTGAGAGGTAACACAGAACAAAGTATGATGAGAAGGTGACAAGAAGGAATAAGCCAACTGGTGAGAATAAAAGGGGTGAGATCTCTGGATGAAGAGGGTTGCCATGGAATAAAGAGACGGGAATAGGAATCACAGAAAAAAGCTGTGCAGGCAATATAACAATGAAGGGCATGTACAGGACATAGAAGTCTATCCAGATGGGTAGAGATTAGAAATAGAGGGAAGGGAAATAGGTGAAAAGGAGGAGTCACCCTCAAGCGCCGCCAAGGTTTTAGGAAGGAAGGAACAATGTGGATAAAGGATAAGATAGGTATGGTGGTAAAGTGTGCATGTAAAGTCAGACCACTGACAACCACAGGCCAAAAGGAGAAGGAAATATGCCTTAAGGGACAGATGAAACAAAGAACACAAGGAAATAGTTTTGAACAGAGGTAAAGTAAGAGAATGGAGGACCACAGTAATATCACAATGCGGAAGAGCAGATCGCCAAGGAAGACGACGAATCCGGAAGGAATAGATTAATATGGTATGGACGGATGAAAGAAAAACCCTGCAGTAATGGGAAAGAAGAAAGGTATGGGATAAAGCTGGCTGATAACCTAAAATCGAGGAGACCTTGGTCAAAAAGACATGTAAGAAACTTGGAGACACCTGCAACAGTAGTACAAGCAACAGGAAATCTCCGAGCCTGGGCCCATGTATGAAAGACTTTCCACTTTTGCTGATACACTTCCATGGGAGAAGGACGGATGGATTGAGCCAACTGAAAAGCTACATGACAGGAGAAACCAGATCTCCTTGCCAAGGACTGGACAAAAGCCAAGTGTGAAGATGGAGGACATGAAGTGCGGGATGCAGAACCAGTAAATGGGGTTGAGAAAGGAGGAGGATGAAGGGACCCCTCTGTCAGGTAAATATTGTTGGGGCAGGAAAGACTATCTGCCACGAGGTTTAAAGCACCTGGGACTGGACACACAATTAAACAAATGTGTTGACTGTGGGCCCAATATAGGAGATCTAATGTATGAAAACAGAGGGATCTCATGGTGCCGCCTTGAACTGTTGGAATGGATCATTACCAGACAATGTCTGACAATGGGAAGAAAGTGATTCAAAGCCCAACAAAAGACTAGCAGCTCTAGGACGTTGATATTTAAAGACGGTTTTGACAGACCAGTAACCCAAAGCCTCTTGGAGATTGACCCATGCACCTCAGCCCTGAAGGGATGCATCCGTAAACAGATGTAAATCCGGACAAAGAGGAGTAAGTGAAACACCTGCTGATGTGTGAGTCTTGTCCAAGTACCAAAGGAGATTGTCTACAAGGTAAGGAGGATGTGTCATGGGAGCATCCAATTGATCCCGAGCAAGGTACCATTAATTGTGTAGAGCCCACTGAAGGGAGCACATGTGTGCACAGCTGAGGGGATTAGCAGTGTCATAGAAGACCACATCCCAAAAGCTATAGAACCTTGTGAGCAGAAAGTGAGGGAGCAGACAGGGTGGGGCAAACTGACAATTCCATAGAAATGAATCAGAGGAAGTTGGGCCTGACTGAGGTGAGTGTTGAAAAAGATACCCAAATGCACAAGGTAATTCAACCTGAATTCTTTAAAAAAGATGTGAAATTAAACCACATCAAAAACTAATTCAATCTCAAGCCCTAAACAAAACGAAAAAAGAAAGATGTTTGAGTGCAAGTGCTGCCAAACGGGAAGTAATAGTTCGATAGATGCGCATTGAGGGAGTCGCATGCGTCACGTGAGTTTACTATTCTCCTATTGGTTGAGAAGTGGCACATGATCATTTGATTCCAACAGGGGTGTGTGGAAGGCTTGTGGCATGTGTAATAAAAAAGTTTGTATATAAAGGGCAGCAATGAATGAGAATAGCTAATCTTGTTAGAAGAGAGAAGTACTATATCAGAATTTAATGTTACACTGTAAAATGCATGCTTGACTTTAATAGTACTGCAGTTGGAAGTTACATATTCCTAACTGTTGGAATGCAGTTTTCTTATCATAATATCACGGTCATGTCAGGGTAGTCATCAATATAGTGTAACTGAAGAGCTAAGTTGAGTCAAACATATCTTGATTATTACAGACTCTTGCTATAAGTTGGTCGTAATTGACAGACCTTGTAACCATTTTGTACTGATGCATTTTACAGTGTAACATTAAATTTTAATATTGAAAGTCATGTAGGAATGATCTATGTATATCTGTATCATCCCTATATTCTTGTTTGCATTATTTTTGGCACTGCCATTCCTACATCATTTTATATTTATAAAATGTTTTTTTATCATTTGTGGTTATAAGCAATAAACTTAATTCGGTACAAAATCTTTTACAAGTGACTGCAACAAAGTCACCTTCTTTTTTGCACCATCTGTAACATTTCAAGCCTTTCCTCTTAATGGCCTAAAAAACAACAACGTTTTTACAACTTTATATGTCATAGACCATTACCTGGGCTATAAAGAAGTCTCCGTGTATCCAGGACACCACACCAAAGTTTGTGTAGCGGAAAAGGTGATCCATGACCCAGGTAACATTTTGCAAAACTTCACCTTTATTCTGAAATGCAGCCATCAATAGTGGAACATCAGCTGTAGACTGGTGATTCATCAGGATCAAAGATCGGTGGTTGACACAGCTACTTATGTCTTCCCCTACCTCTTGTACTGACAAACACAAAATTAAACATTTTTACACTGGACAACTTGGTAGTTGTGAAGATGTTTTTCACTTTTAATATGTGAAACTGTTCATTAGCTGAACTGACAATGACTTTAGATATTTAACAAAAATACTTCTATACATTAAAGAATCTACTGCTGAACAGAACTTCTGCTGTGTTTCTGAGGGAGGGGAGGAGATCCAACATAATATGGAAAAGCTCTCTACTGAGATTGCTTTTTACAGTAACTTGTTCAAAGACAACATAACCTTTATAGAAAATATAAATAAAATATAATATGTATTGTAATAAATTTCTGATGATCATTATTTGTTAAATAATTAGTTTGCAGTATGTTTTGTGCAATGACAAAAGTTACATACAGCCAAATACACTTATATATATACTTCAACTGGCAAATATATTTGTAGACAAAACTCTTTTTGTGCTACTGCAGAATTTTAGACATAATGTGCATGTTTTATACATTGCTTGGATACATAATTGTAGTAAAAAAAAAGAACCAGGTACCTAAAACAAAATTAAATACAAGATCCATTTTATACTTCTCAATTTAAGTATTATGTAAAAATAATTCTTAATTTAGTTCGTACGTGATTTAATAAGAAATAGCAAAATAATGTTTTCGACAGTGATGGATATCTACAGTTACGAGAACAACTTACTGTAGTACTTGGCCGACCAATTCCAAGCAGCAACCATGTATAGTAGCCACTTAAATAAAATCCCTTCAATTTTCCAATAGATCGCTGGCTTGAAATGACGTAGGGGTCTCAACAGCACTAGAGTCCACATTACATACGTGGGAATGCAGTAGAGATTGTTGATGAAGACAAAAATGATCCGAAAAATACATTTCAGAATGTGCAAGGCACGAGACCAGTCCATGAGCTTGAAACAGTCAATGATAAAGTAACATTACATATAACACATGCAAATCTACTGCTATACAAATAACAATCTTTTCTTTTTTATGACAGAATTAATTTACATGTAATTCTGCAGGAATTTCTTAATGACATTTCCATGTTGTAATATGATACAACAGTTTCATTTCACTGTGTCACTCTTGTTTTCACGTGTTTTCAATTTAAAACATTAAGACATAAATCTTCAACTTCTTGCATCTCCTGTGTCTATGAATAGTTTGTTTATTTTTTATTTCTTCTTTCATGATATGTGTATTCAAATATCTATCAACTTATTAAATGTAGAAATCTGATGCTGCATTCAAAAAATTATAGCAACTCAAAGAATACTCTAAAATCATTATTTTTCACCCACGTAGTCATAAACAAGAAAATAAACAAACCTTATTCTTTCAGTCTACAACTTTAGGGTGCTCTACAAAACTTGATAATGTAAGCAAGTATGGAGTGTTTGTCAGTGTAAGCTACTTAGAGAGGGAGAGATCAATCCCTAAACTAACTTCCAGCTATGTTAGAAATAAATGGATATTGAACCTTAAAACAATCGGTTGCAAGTCAAGTGCATGTTACTACTCCTACTATTTTATCTCGAGCTACCAAATACACATACAATAGGTAACCTGAGCAGACTGATAAGAGGATTTAAACATGATTTATAAAAGAAACTTTCCTAATTAATGAAAAAAAAATTACCATCTTAAAATAAATAAATGTTCTGTTATTTGTTAATAGACTATAGACTGGTATTTGGTCTTATTTCTTAACTAAATATGTGTTGAAATTTCCATCAGTGTCAAAAATCACCACTAATTCCAATAGGATTTCTTCATATGTGACTTATTTGGTAAAAAACAAATACATTATTCGGCCAATTATTTTTAACTTAAATTATTTGTTTCTATGGTAACATTCTACACGTTAATTTTAGCTTACAGGCCTGATTCATGAATAAAACTAAACATTTTCAAAATATGAGTACTGAATTTCGTCTCTCAGATTTTGTTACTTGGTCACTTCCCTTATCTTACAACATCTGGTCTCATAAATTGTGTACAACTGATTTAGGAGTAGGCATACAAGTCATCATCAATAGGCACGTGGAAGGTACAGTGCAAATATACCTCAGCTGTGTTAACATTAATTTGAGTAATGTGTCCCACTGTAGCATTTAAATGCAAGAAAGAAAAATAACTTAATGGGCATTGACATAATGTTACAAATACCAACAGAGAACAATAAATACAGTACATAATGTTACAAATACCAACAGAGAACAATAAATACAGTACATAATGTTACAAATACCAATAGAGATCGATAAATACAGTACCAATGTTACTATCACTAACAGAGAATGATAACTACAGTATCTAATGTTACTGACACTAACACTGAATGATAACAACAGGTCATAATGTTACTATCACTAACATAGAATGATAACTAGTACATAATGTTACTGTCACTAACATAGAATGATAACTAGTACATAATGTTACTGTCACTAACATAGAATGATAACTAGTACATAACGTTACTGACACTAACACTGAATGATAACAACAGTTCATAATGTTACTATCACTAACATAGAATGATAACTAGTACATAATGTTACTGTCACTAACACAGAATAATTACAGTACACAAAGTTACTGTCACAAACATTGAATGTTTACGGTACATAATGTTACTGTCACAAACATTGAATGATTACGGTACATAATGTTACTGTCACTAACATTGAATGATTACGGTACATAATGTTATTGTCACTAACACAGAACGATTACAGTACATAATGTTACTGTCACTAACACAGAATGATTACAGTACATAATATTACTGTCACTAACACAGAATGATTACAGTACATAATGTTACTGTCACTAACACAGAATGATAACAACAATAAATAATGTTACTGTCACTAACACAAAATGATAACTGTAATAAAGTTACTGTCACTAACAAAGAATGATTAGAGTACATAAAGTTACTGTCACTAACATAGAATGATTACAGTACATAATGTTACTGTCAATAACACAGAATGATTAAAGTACATAATGTTATTGTCACTAACATATAATGATAACAACAGTATATAATGTTACTGTCACTAACACAGAATGATTACAGTACACAAAGTTACTGTCACTAACATAAAATGATTACAGTACATAATGTTACGGTCACTAACAGAATTATTGCAGTACATAATGTTATTGTCACTAACACAGAATGATTACAGTACATAATGTTACTGTCACTAACACAGAATGATTACAGCACATAATGTTACTGTCACTAACATATAATGATAACAACAGTAAATAATGTTACTGTCATTAACGTAGAATGATAACAACAGTACATAATGCTATTGTCACTGACATATAATGATAACAACAGTACATAATGTTACTGTCACTAACGTATAATGATAAGAATAGTACATAATGTTACTGTCACTAACACAGAATGATCACAGTAAATAATGTTACTGTCACTAACACAGAATGATTACAGCACATAATGTTAATGTCACTAACATATGATGATAACAACAGTAAATAATGTTACTGTCACTAACACAGAATGATAACAACAGTATATAATGTTATTGTCACTAATATATAATGATAACAACAGTACATAATTTTACTGTCACTAACATATAATGATAAGAATAGTACATAATGTTATTGTCACTAATATATAATGATAACAACAGTACATAATTTTACTGTCACTAACATATAATGATAAGAATAGTACATAATGTTATTGTCACTAACATAAAATGATTACAGTACATAATGTTATTGTCACTAACATAAAATGATTACAGTACATAATGTTATTTTCACTAACACACAATGATTACGGTACATAATGTTATTGTCACTAAAACAGAATGATTACAGTACATAATGTTATTGTCATTAACACAGAACGATTACAGTACATAATGTTACTGTCAATAACACAGAATGATTACAGTACATAATGTTACTGTCACTAACACAGAATGATTACAGTACATAATTAACATAAAATGATTACAGTACATAATGTTATTGTCACTAACACAGAACGATTACAGTACATAATATTATTTTCACTAACACAGAATGATTACGGTACATAATGTTATTGTCACTAACACAGAATGATTACAGTACATAATGTTATTGTCATTAACACAGAACGATTACAGTACATAATGTTATTGTCACTAACACAGAATGATTACAGTACATAATGTTATTGTCACTAACACAGAATGATTACAGTACATAATGTTACTGTCACTAACACAGAATGATTACGGTACATAATGTTACTGTCACTAACACAGAATGATTACAGCACATAATGTTACTGTCACTAACATATAATGATAAGAATGATAACAAAATGATACCAACAGTACATAATGTTATTGTCACTAATATATAATGATAACAACAGTAAATAATGTTACTGTCACTAACATATAATGATAAGAATGATAACAAAATGATAATAACAGTACATAATGTTATTGTCACTAATATATAATGATAACAACAGTACATAATGTTACTGTCACTAACATATAATGATAAGAATAGTACATAATGTTACTGTCACTAACA